GCAGACCACTTCTGAAAAACCTTGCCAAAAAAATTGTCCAGGCAATCGCCAGGAGTCAAACAACTCAAAGGCACCCCCCCCCCAAAAAAGCCCTTAGCTATGTTAAGGTGTGCTTTACTTCTTATTCTGACATCCCTTAAGGGCAAGCTCAAGGTGAAAAAGGTCTGCTAAACTTTCTTACTCATTACCTTGGAGAGGATTCAAGTCACTAATGGCTTGAAACAGTCAACAGAGACATGATAGAAGTCTCCAATGGGGACAGCAAATGGCTGGTGTGGGTCTTCTGGGACAGCAAATGTTATGCTGGTATAATTTTCTGCCAGCTCACGGATGGGCAAAAAGCACTTTAACTGAGCAGTGGTGAAAGGTCCTAAACTGCAATTAATGGGGAGTTTTAACTACCTTCCTGCAGCCAGAAAATAAACGCATCAGTGACTTACTCTGCTATACTATTTTCAGTTTAGAAGTAGTTTGTCATGGGATGGGGGAAGATAATTAAAGAATGTGCAAAAGAGAGAAAAAGATGGAAGGAGAATTATCTGAAGCCTTCTAGATCAATACTTGTCATGACAGAGAGACCTTCGTTAGCATGATGCATCGCCTACAGCAGTAGAGGGCTGAAGTCCACGATATGCAGGTTTTTCTACTCACTGAATTTCTTTTCATTGTTTTTTTTTAATGTTTAGCTGGTTTCAGACAGTAGCTGCTATCTAACTTAAAGTCTAACATAGCACAGTCCCATAATGACTGTGAAAGGGCTGAACCACTTTTATTGTGATAAATTAATCAACCGATAGAGGGATTCATCTTCATGTAGAAGAATGTACTGTTACGGTTGATGGCATGAACTACGGGGTCTTACATTAGAACTGTGGGATATAAACATATATTCCACAATACTGTAGTTGAAAATTGAAGCACTACTGCATACAGTATGTAAGACACATATGCACTTTCTTCTCTATTCCTTTAATTTTCTGTACAATACGATATCCTAAAAAGAAGCAGCATTAATAAAACAGGTTTATTAAAATAAAAAAGTAATCAAAAATATTCACAGTATTCCTATACGCAGAAATAGGTCTTACTGGGTTCAAGGAAGTTACTTCCAAATAAGAAGATATAGAATTGTAGCTTTAGCCTCAGAATTGGTCACAATTGCAAGTCAAACTTGCTGCATGGCAAATTTTGTCAGTCTTATTTGCTATTTATTATTTGGATGCAGAGTTAATGGAGAGGAAATTTAAAAATAGGGCCCTGGCAGCATTTTGTCACAGACAAATCATTTGTAGAATTATTTATACACAACCAGTACTTCTACCAAGAGCCTTCATTTTTAATCTTTACAGGTAAAATGTTGTGTCAGTCTATCATTCTGCATTTCTATGGAAAAAAGCCAATATCTATTTTGCACTGAAAGTCAGAACGGGAGACCATGTTCAGTGTTAGATTAGGACTGCCAATAAGGATTGTACTGTTATGTTGATCTAAATCTTTTGCATTTCTTTGCATTTTATGACTCTGTGTGCAAATATTTTCTCTGCTACCAAGCAGGTATCTGTTACATATATTTAAATATCCAGGGTTCTGGGTGGGTGCATGAAATTTGAAGAACTTGAGTACCTGCCTGCCCTCCAATAAAAAATGGATATAGTGTTTTATTAAAGGTAGGGGGCCTGAAATAGGGCTATCCTCAGTAAACCAGAACAAATGAAAAATATGACTGTGGTTAAAAAGATGGCCACATGACAAGTTTCAACAAGAAGCCCAGAGATGCTAAGTCTAAAAGAATTATTAATTGCCCTGAGACTAGTAAACATTTGGCTTTTTTTTTAATAATAAGACCTTTGTGCATTTGGAGTTTATGCTAATAAATCCTCAACCCTTTTCTGAAGCAGATTGATAATAATAATGATAATGATGCCTGCATCACGGCAAAATGTATTACTGTCAGGTATATTCAGGTGAAAAGAACTTTCAGCTTAAAAATATACAATTAGTATGACTTTTTCAAATGCTCCCACCAGTTTAATTTGTAAGGTCTCCATCATTACACCCATTCTCCCTTGTTGGATTTCTGTTCTGAAGATATCTATTTGGCTTGGGTCGCTATGCATGTCTTTTAAAATTTCACCTCTACCCAAAAATGGCATTGGTTTCTGATGGTTCACTTGTTCCCCTTTTGTCCCTCAGTATTGACAAGGTGACAAGGGACTGAAACCTTAGATGCCCTGGACAAGAGAAAAATAATTTTAACAAAGCAATTCTTGAATGGAAATATTGTACACACAGTCTGCTATTCCAGCTGACAGCCAAAGAAGAAAATAAGCAAAATGTTAACCTTCAGACATCAAATATGTTTTATGCAGAGTCTAGCTGTAGAGTTTTCCTGTGAGCAGGTATCTGAAACGTTGAGGTTGAAATTCTATACTAATCTGTCCTGTTGTTGCTTGGATGGTGGTTTCCTTTCTACATACATTCAGCGGAGGACACCATCAGAACAAGTCTGTGTTTGTAGTTCCCCAGAAATGCTATTAGAGTCAAATGATTCTTGGCTAAATCATGACAACTATAGAAACAATAGAAATATTAAGCACCAAATTTTCACCGGAAACACATCAGTAATGAGTTATTTCCATACAGAGATTCAATCCTCCATTTTCATTTTTTGTTTTCCTTTTTTCCTTAGAAAATAGAAAAACATAAACAAACCAGAGAATGCCATAAGATCACTTTAAGGCTCACACAAAAACAAGTTCCATCACTGGAAATTCAATTCGTATGTCCCTCTTCATAGCCTTAAAATGATGCCTGTACTGTAGTCAAAAGCCCAATTACCAATCGAAGCATGTACCTTTAAGTGGACTTTCTTTTTGCTACTATGCTGAGTTTTATTAAGACTGAGAATGATTGGGAGAGGGGAGCAGAGAAATTGTTATGGAATTTTAAAATACCTTATAAACTCCTTCTTCAAATACTACTTCTCTCTCATGCTTGTTTTTGGTACTTAGTTTAAAATTAAAGGCCATCTAACACGTGTTCCTAGAAATCAAATAGACCAGTTATGCTCTGAAGTTTATAGATACTAATAACCATTGCAATGAAAACCAATGAAATAACTTGCTTTTGGGGACTTGCACCTCAGTTCAACTATTTTAGACAAGGAGAGATGTAAAGGGATATAATGCCTTCCCTCTTCAATTCCATGGAAAAAAATAGTTCTGTACATGAACTTTTTTTAACACCTCCCATTTCAATGAACTGGGCAGACTCTATGCCAGAAGAGACATCTTTGTGCTTCTCAGCCATGCTAATGGTTGGGTCATTTTACAACAGATGCAAGTCAAAAGCTGGGTTTTCATTGCTTTTGGAAAAAAAAAAGAGGATTATACCCTGAGATTCAAGCTTAATACAGTGAATCATAAAGAATCACCCCCTTTTTTCTGCATCAGGGATGCAGTTAATGTACAGTTCCATTCAAAATGGCACGAGGAAATGGAACTTAAGTATATCAAATTAAAGTAACATTTATGCCAAATCAAAACACAGCCATGATCCCTCTTCAAACTTAGCTTGGCATTTCCTTCACTGGGGGGGGGGGGGGAATTCTTTTTCACCAGTTTTGTGCCAATCAAAAAAAAGAAATGGCATTTCCTTTTTACCTGATTCTTTTGTATAATTTCATATTATGTATAAACACACACACACACACACACACGTGTGTGTGTCACTATATCTATCTATCTATCTATTTATCTATCTATCTATTTATATGTCATTAAAAT